GCATATACTCTAACCTTTATCACTTCTACAGGCAGGAGCAATATGTCCAATACGTTGACAATTGTAACATTTTGAATTCTTGAACTTACACTGAAAGCTTTCATGTTTCCCTCGGCACCTCTTACATTTTAAATCAGCATGTGTTCCTTGTTTTGTGGTATACTTATTCCTTTTAGCTACAGTTACTTTACACACTGAGCCACTACTGCTAACTGTTTCACTACCAGCATTGGGAACAAATTCTCTGGTGTTTTTCTCGGCCAATTCCATGCTTGTAGCTATCTGACATGCACTTTCAAAAGTTAAGTTAGTGGTGTTCATTAACTTATTCTGTATTTTTTCATAATTCAGGCCTATTACAAACCTGTCTCTTAGAGCTCGGTTCAAGAACTGTCAAAAGTTACAGTGAATGGATAACTTCTTCAAAGCTACTATATAATTACTTACTGATTCATCTTTACCTCTATGTCTGGTGCCAAATCTGTAACTTTCAGCGATCTCAAGTGGAGCAGGATCAAAATGTTGCTTCAGAATCTTGGTAATCTGAATCAGTGAGGAGTCTTTGGGTTTGTCTGGAGTAAGCAGATTGACCAGAGTAGAATAAACATTAGCTCCTACCTCTGTCAAAAAGATTGCTTTCCTTTTCTCTTGAAGGATTTTTTTTCTTAGCATCCCCACCGTCGTCCATTAATTCATTTGCCAGAAAGAAGAAGTCCATTCTCTCACAATATGATGTGAAATCTTCCTTGTCTGCATCATACTCCCCCACTCGTCCGATATATCCACTGACGCCAGCCATGGTTGCTCTCTTCACTTAAATTCTCCAGGTTCAAAGTAGCCTTCCCTTCAGTGGTCACTATCCTCTCTTCAAGGACTTCACCAACACTTTGTGAATCCCATCCTCGTCGCCAGTGTAGTATCTTGGGTTATTTAATGGGAGAATGAAGAGTCACATGGTCTGTCTGGCTGGTTGTTTATTCTCTGTTCTTGGTTACAATGTGCCTAACACATTTCGTGTTTACACAAGCCTAAACACTTTCTGACTTTGGTAAGCAGTAACATAATATATAATATATATATTCAATAAAGGCAGCATATAAACATACATATATATAACACTGTCCTGTATTTATGTGATTCTGCCGCATCAAGAATCGAGGTTTTGCATAGCGCGAGAGCCAATCACGGGGGAGAACGCGAAAGGTGTGAAACTCTCTCTGATCCTAAGCTTGAGGAGGAAGGTCAAGACTAGGTCGGCGATCGTACCCTTATGTCCGCACCATAGACCTAGTCTCTCGGCATAGCTGGCTGTATGCTGATTGGCTGGTAAGCAAGCGGCAGGAGCTCAGTTGGTAGTTGTAGAGGAGAGGATCCACTACAGTCTATCCACCACACGAAACCTCATAAATAAGTTATTTTCTGTGGAACTCTAAAATATGATTAACAATAATCTTTCACAAATAATACTTTACTTGGTGTTATAAAAATCGAGCAAGGTTTACACGTTATACCACTAGAAGTACACTGTACAATAAGAAAGGAGATACTCTGTACTAAACTTATCACTGCCGGCCCAATACTAGCGTCACGCGAGGTAAACAAAGCGAGCAGAAATGGTCACAAACAAAAGACGTTCACGTTGCGAATCCACAACCAACGATTGAACGCTCACTCGTAACAGTAATATAATATGTGAAACAGCTATGTTTTTTCAAATCGCAAATATTAATAAAAGTGTTAGACTGTTAGTAACGCTGACAAAAACGGAGACTCGGCAGTGGCTGTTGGGACATGCTGATGTGTTGTGTTTCGTTGTGGCTGTAGCCTGGAGTTGCTTAGTTTCTCCAGTGTCTTCAGTTTATTGGATTATATGGCTGACATGGAACTGAGTGACCCTCAACCTAGTGCAAGTAGAGAACAGACGGAAGTAATAATGTTGATTAACAGTGTAACAGTAACAGCTAATGATGAAGATAATAAACATTGTGAACAGAATGTTGAAGGACGCACTGACACAGCACCATTGTCTACTTCACTCAGTACTTCACATCGTAAAAACAACTTTTGACGATAACTTGAAATTTTGGTGTGAACTTTGACTGTTTTGATATATTTACGAGGAAGTGGTCAAAGAGTAGCATGAAATTGTCTAGTTATATTTTCATGCTGATACTAAAGTCATATATTTGACCTGAAAAATGCAGATACAAAGTATAATCAAAAACAACTATGTCGACGTGGCTGAGCCAACTGAGAGTCAGGGCACTCTTACAGGCACCTAAAAATATTGTATATATATTTCAAGGAATTATTATATAAACATAATATCATCATTCTGGATTACAATATATTACATGGTGTAAGTAAATAAATATTAGAATGCTACCACCTTCATCACATTTTTTTTTTATTATTTAGACTTTGTATGTGTGAGTGTACTTTTTTCGAAGTGTACAGCAGTCTGGCAAGTGGGTGGAAGCGATACAGGAGTTATGTTAAAGTGAAGCAATAAAACAATCGCAGTCAGGATCACATCGACGTGGTAAAATATATAATCCTTGACAGTAGTAATTTACTGTACAGTATATCAATGCATCGACATGTTATTTTTTTTAATGACAGTACAAAGGTAAAAAATGTAGAAAAGTAAGTTACAAACATCATAATATTTAGTAAATGTCTTTAATTAAGAGAGGATTTAAAGGGACGCACCATAGTCTTTGCCGTGGATAGGGTATGTTTTTCCACACCTTTACACCATGATAATTTATGGAGGTCTGGTTTATCCGGAATTGGAAATAGTTATTCTCAATCAAGTGATTAACTGCTTTATAAAGAAATAAAGAATATTAGTAACTATTAATATCCTCATATATTAACATTTTCAATTTGGCAAATGGCCGTTTGTGTAGTCTTTTTTTTTTTTTCAAGGCCGCACAACTCTCTTTTGGGAAGAAACCAGGGATTGCGTTTCAGTTTTTGGAATCCCCCCATAGTGTATGACAGCGAATCAGGTGTTGGTAAATACTGTCATATCATAACAGACTTTTTTCATTGCTGCCAGAGTGAGTGACTGGCGAGTGTGATGCAGAATGCCACACTGTTTCTCCTGTTTGGTGATCATCATCAACAACCCCTAGGAATTTAGTAATTTGTTCACGTTTAAGGACTGTACTACAAAGGTATAGGGGTCCAGACCTGCGGGTATTCGCTTTTTCTACTGAGTTTTTCTGAGATTCCAGGCCCCAGTTTATTACATATTATCCAGTTTCTGACTTAAGTCAATTCAGTATTCATGGTTCTTATCAAAGAATGAAGATCTGGAGTGGAACTATATCATTTTTGTACAATAGAAACAGTACTGGTCCAAGACAGGAGCTTTGGGAGACGCTGTAGAATATAGGCGAGGAGTCAGATTGATGGTCGCTATAGTAGACGTACTGCTTCCTGTTACACAGGTAATTACCGTATTTTACCTTATTTATCTAATGGCCACTCACTAGAGGTGGCCATGTCGACGGAAGGAGGCCAGTGGCCTTATTAGGATTTAAATTCCTTATGTTGATCAGGAATGCCAACACTAAGAATATAATCACTGAAGTGGTTGTTAATAAGGGAGGGTTCTGTAACAATTGTACCATCTAACATAAAAGCTGAGTGGGTGTCGTCGGTTCTGTTTCTGTTCTGGATATAATTTATGACTCTAAATTTTCTTATTAATGCCCGATGTCGGCTGCAATTTATTTGTATAATAGCTACGTCTGGCATTTCTAACTGCTTGTGTTACTCTATTTCAAATATTTCGGTAAGCGGCAATGAATGTTATGGGCCTTTTGCGAATGTTCTCTTATTTTTTATCTTTTTCTTTTGCTGTTATTCCCCCATTCCCCCGATTTAAATTGTATTATAGGGCATGATTTTTGTTTTCTTTTTACTTATTTAGTTTTTAGGGGAAAACATATCAACCAGACATTGAAGACAGACGAGATGTTGCAGGTAATCACGTCTGGGTTTTCGAAGGCATAGACTAGATCCTACTTAGCATTCACTAAGCTGTTTTCGAACTGGAGCATATTGTTGTTACAGTAGTCTGTATTTTATTGTGTCTTTACTAGTCTTTAATTTTTTGGAGGGGATGGCTGTCTTACACGTGGCAAAATTGGGGTAGTTATCTGCGATATTGCTATAAATAATCATAATCATAATATATTATCAAGGGTGTTGCTAGATCTGATATGGTCTAGCACAGTGGCGGAGGTGGTTTCGTTATTGTGTTGAATAAGAGCTTAGAACTGCAGGTAGCAAGGTCTATCACTGAGGTGTCCGTCTCTGATTTTAATAGTTTAAGGTTGAAATCTGTAACTTAACAAAGTTTATTTTCTTGATTTAAGATATTGATAAGTACCGACAATTTATCAAGAAAATTTCTTTCATTTGTTTGGCGCCTTCTGTATTATTCGCCATTACGTATTTCAGAGAAAATACCCCATAAACTCCTCTTTAACTTTTAAATTACCTCTTGCAAAATAATTATCAATGCTGAGACACATTAATGGAGTGTATAATATGATTAGGGATACTATGCAAATGCACAATATGATTAGTGAGTTTCGTTTTATAAAACCCAATTCCATCAAATTTTTTAACAATAGAAGTAATATACAGATTATTAAAGTTTCTAAGTGAGGGGAATACTGCGGCTCATTATGGGGAAGGAATGTGGTAGCAGGAGATTTGCATAAACTTAGAAGAGTCAGGGAAGTAATAGTTGGAATTGGGTTTAGTGTAATCAAATGAGCTTTGTACTGTAGAAAGGTAAACGGATCATTATGTGTGAGCATTGTGTTGTCACCATGGGTAAAGGTGGTGTAACACATACGGTCCAGAACATAAAGGAAAACAACGCCAGAATCAACAGTGTAGAAACATTGGTACTAAATAAGAAAAAAAAGTGTCACTGAGGCGTATATATATATATATATATATATATATATACGCAAATTTCAATATACAAACAAAACCTCACTAGTCAGGAATCGAACCCGGGACTCTATATTTCAACAGGGATCGCTGCCACGTTATCACACGTTACCACAAGTACAGTACGTAGGTCCCGAATTTGGTTCCTGACTAGTGAGGTATTCTTTTGTATATTGAAGTCCTAAGGTATATTGGTAGCCTCGTGCTTTCAATTGAGTCTGTAAAATGCTGCTCCGACCACATTGCACGGGCAATCGCAGGTGGAGTCTCCCGCTATTTAAGAAATATACCGAAGGAGCACTCTTTGTTTGAAACATCACAAGGCCTAAGATTGCTTCTTGGTTCCCTTGTGGTAATATTTTTGTTTTACTTTTAACTGGGCATACAGTAGACTATCATGATTGTAAACCACGTCTTAAATGAAACAATTCACATTTTACCATATGCGAAATGATTTTCATTAAGTTATAGAAATACAAATAAAAAGTTATTCTTATTTATCATATTCGTCACATATTTCATTATATCACAACCAAGGTAACCCACAATCAGGCTCGTTTTCTAGTCATTCTCTAAGTTCAAATGTGCCGTTGAGATGTGCTGTCAATCCCTCCTGCGGCAATTGTGTATTAGCACTTGAAATATTTCCATTTGTTTTCTGTGATATACACATTTCTGTGACAAGAAATGGAGGTTTTGGATCATCAGGATGAATGTTGTGTTTCGCATCAAGAAGCACACACGAGTACTCGTGTTCAATGATCTTGATTTCATCCTTACCCTCACAGTCGACAGTATTTCTTTCAAGGTGTGGAGATTCCGTAGATCCAGTGATGGTGTTTTTGAAGGAGTGCTCAAGTTTCGCACAGGAACTGATCTCCAGACCAATTACATTTTCTGGGCTGGAGTCTCTGTCTGAAGTTATATTACTTGGCTCTGTTTCTCTAGATACGGTCTTAGATTTTCTCAGAGCATGTTTATTGCTACCACCAACTTCTTGCTCATGACGGACGATGTTTGCTTTGGTTGTCGATGTTACTTGTGCTTTTACAAAGTCAGGACTTTTTTTGGTAGGCTGACGTGCGACTTCCATAACTTCAGGGAATGAAAAATTTGTCGACAAACAGTTATGTTGATGGAAGAAATATTTTATGGTGTCCCGTATAGGTTTGCTGCATAAAACATACAAGTAAAAGTTGAGTGCATGGTTTAGCAATTCCAAGTTGTTTGCAACAGCCCTGAAGATTTCGAATTTCAGGTGTCCTGCAAGATTATCAGTGTACAGCGCACCTAATACTCCTGAAGGCACTTGTGTAATGAAAAAGCTTATCATGACTGCCATCAGTAGGGAGACCAGGTGCTGATCATTTCGACGTCGGCTTTCCGTAACGGGGTTGTCTTGGAGCTGATCACTACCAGACATCTGATCTTTTCTCTTGCGTAGCCGTATAAATTCTTTAACAATAAGTGTGTTTGATACTGTAAGAACGATGATCGGCACAAAGGTAACAATTGTCTGCCTGATCCATTGGTAGGCAATAAAATAGAAGCTGTTCCGTATGTCTATCTTCATACAAGCGACCCACCATGTCCGGTTGTCAGGTGGCACAAATGATGAAGTTTCACATTCATTATACAGTTTTGGTTCCTTAAGAGCACAAACGGGCAACCATATTACAACAGCAAGGATTACAGATCCAAGGATGCCCGCTCGAGCATAGCGGCTTGTATGGATCCGTTTAAAGTCCGTTGGTCGACAAACGGAAAAAAATCTGTCTATGGCAATACAAGCAACAATAACAACTGAGGTGCTCAAGGGAATGTTATCAAAGAGAATCTCACAGTAGGACCACCAAACAGCCGTGGAGTAGAGTGGTGTAGCTTCCACCAGGAGATGATGAAGCAAAGAAATACTGATGGTCAGGGAGAGGAAGTCACTGATGGCCAGAGCCAGAAAATATGTGTACGTCACACCTGAAAAGAGAAAGAACACGGATTAATCGGTGTATGGTATAGCTGTGGTTATATACACGGGGATGTTTATCGTGAACATTACATACAATTCACCAACATCATTACACCCATGAGTTGCAATTTGTTAACTGTAACCTACAATGGACTAGAATAGGTACTCATGACAGGTGTGTCCTCTGAAGTGCATGACTGAGGAGATAGCCATAACTTGGCTTACCTAGTGATAAGAAAGATGAAGATGCCTAATTAATTTTTTTTAAATATATGAAATCGCTCCGAATCCTGGCTACTGTACTCTAGTCCAGTCACAACTATAAGACTAACCTTGAAGTATTGTCCCCATATCTAGTTTGTTGTGGTGATAGGAACGATTATGACATCATAGATGACGTCATAAATTGTTATCATCTTCACGTTTTTATTTAATGATTGTTCCTCTATTTCATCGTTTGCTAAATATAACACATGTACTGAGCTCATCAATGCGAGATGGTAGCTAGGCTGTGCAACAGACTTGTCTTTATTATCACACGCTGTATGTTTACCTTAATAGACACATGTTTCTTCATCTGTACATCCTACTCTGTATCAAAAGATCTTGGAGCAGCAAACATTCCCTGGCTGACCCATTGTGAGTCCCACCCACCTACCTCTGAACTGTGGCAGTCTCAGGATGATGATCGTGAGAAGGTTGCCCACCAACCCCACCGAGATGATAATGGGGGCGATAATGCCGTAGGCGACATATCTGGCTTCTTCCACGCGAGGGTCTTCAGTGTTGTTGTGGGTTGAGGTATTTGCCAGGTCAAAAGGCCCAAGGTATTGTTCTGAAGAAGTACGAACTGTTAGTCTGATACAGTATTGGTAAATTGTTAACTAAATACAAGTCTATTCTACACAACACACACAGACCCACACACACACACACGCAGAACTTTTTCAATAAAACGTCAATTATTATTTTTATTATTATTATTATTATTATTATTACACACACACACACACACACACACATATATATATATATATATATATATATATATATATATATATATATATATATATATATATATATATATATATATATATATATATATATATATATATATATATATATAGCAAAGAAGTATGTCTGTGAGTTTGTTTGTGTGTGTGTGTGTGTGTGTGTGTTCGCACGAGAATCTCGGAAACTACTTTACCGATCTGTAGTGATGATGGATGGTGTTATATGTAGTGATGATGGATGGTGTTAAATGTAGTGATGATGGATGGTGTTATATGTAGTGATGATGGATGGTGTTATATGTAGTGATGATGGATGATGATGTTATATGTAGTGATGATGGATGGTGTTATATGTAGTGATGATGGATGGTGTTATATGTAGTGATGATGGATGATGATGTTATATGTGGTGATGATGGATGGTGTTATATGTAGTGATGATGGATGGTGTTATATGTAGTGATGATGAATGATGTTATATGTAGTGATGATGGATGATGTTATATGTAGTGATGATGGATGTTGTTATATCTAGCGATGATGGGTGGGGTTATATGTAGTGATGATTAGACAATAAAATAATAACAGTTTAATGCTAAAAAAATATACTTTGCTGTACCGTTGTAGTGGAACTTACATACACCGTTAATGAACTATTGATCGAAGAAAAAGTTTTGGGGACTGAACAGTGAGACAATGTGGAGCCTCCCGGATGGTGGCGTCCTACGTGACCTTGCGAATGAGCCGCCCGGACCAAACTTGGCATGGATAGCAAGTGTCATGTGGGGATCTAAAAAAAAACTCCAACCAACCCTATCCGACACATCAAACCCTACCCGACCCGTTAAACCACACAGAGGTTGAAAAGTAGTATCACATCCCACGTCTTATAGGTAAGTTTATCCTTATATATACTACTACACGTTCACTACAACACCCGTAATACACATTTCATTAAAACACCAGTACACACGGCCACTACAACACCCATACTACACGTTCACTACAACACCATTGGACCCCAGGCCGCCTCTCAACCTCGCTCATAATGAGAATCCAGTGTGCAACATCAAAAAAGGAGCGGCAAAGGCAAAACTCTTAGAAAAATACAGCCTCATAGTCTGGGATGAATGCCTCAAGGCATCATACCTATGAGATGTGTTCAGACACTCACCCTATCCATAAACATGAGAGTACATCTACAAGGAGATCAGGATGCTGGACGGTTTGCAAACCTTCTACTACAGATTGGAAATGGAATTTTCCCTGTTGATTCAGAAGGACAAATAATCATTCCTCAAGGATGTGGAAATGTTGTAAGGTCCTCAACTGAGCTCACTAACATGTCTACCCAAACATTATCCACCACTACAAGGATCACAAGTGGCTGCGTGAACGCGCAATTCTGGCACCAAAGAATGAAACAGTGGCTGAAATCAACATGACTCTACTCAGACAGCTTCCAGGCAGTGAGACTCATTCAAATCTGTTGGTACAGTAATCGACCAGGACCAAGCAGTCCAGTACCCTGCAGAATTCCTTAATTCCTTGGAGCCTGCTGGAATGCCTCCTCACCACCTCACTCTCAAGATTGGAACTCCTATAATGTTCTTAAGAAATCTTGAACCACCAATCCTCTGCAATGGCACAAGACTGGTGGTGAAGAACATGATGCCACATGTACTGGAAGCTACAATACTGACAGGAAAAGCTAAAGGAGAGGACGTTTTTATACCAAGGATACCTCTCATCACCACTGACCTGCCATTTGAGTTCAAGCGACTTCAGTTCCCGGTTAAAGTGAGCTTTGCCATGACCATCTACAAAAGCCAGGGACAGTCCCTAAAGATGGTTGGCCTAAACCTGGTGTTTCCTTGCTTCTCTCATGGACAGTTCTATGTTGGATGCTCCAGAGTGGGAACTGGCAAAAATCTGTACATACTTGCTGCTAATGGCAAAACCAAAAATGTGGTCTACCTTAATGTACTACAGTGAGACAATGTGGAGCCTCCCGGAGGGTGGCGTCCTACCGTGGCCTAGCGAAAGAGCCGCCCGGAGGGCGGCGATTCCCCTAGTTGGTGCAGGTGCAGGTATTGTGTCGATTACCGAGGCGTGTCCAATTGCTCCTGAGATCTGTGCCATAGAAAACTATGAGTTATTTCACCACCTTAGAAGGGACAGGAGAGGTGGGGTTGTTGTGCTGTACTGTCGCCGTGACCTTAAACCATCACCCCTAGGTGTTAATGTACCTGAGGATGTAGAAGCTTTGTGGGTTCAGGTCATCACCTCCCCGCCAGCATACACTCTCTCATTGTTTGTAATTGTTATTCACCCCAGCCGCCATATATATATATATATATATATATATATATATATATATATATATATATATATATATATATATATATATATATATATATATATTTTCATTATTGGATCTACATGAAAAAAATATATATATATATATATATATTATATATATATATATATATATATATATATATACATATATATATATATATATATATATATATATATATATATATATATATATACATATATATATATATATATATATATACATATATATATATATATATATACATATATATATATATATATATATATATATACATATATATATATATATATATATATATACATATATATATACATATATATATATACATATATATATATATATATATATATACATATATATATATATATATATACATATATATATATATATATATATATATATATATATATATATATACATATATATATATATATATATATATATATATATATATATATATATATATATATATATATATATATATATATACATATATACATATATAGTCAACACCTCAACCCGCCAAGATTCGAACCCACAGCCCACGAGCCCATGACCTCTGGACCACCAGGATCCTGGTGGTCCAGAGGTAGCGTTCCACGGTCACAGTCGTGGGCTCGTGGGCAGTGGGTTCGAATCCTGGCGGGTTGAGGTGTTGATTGTATGTAGAAGTCCGCGTGCTTTATTGGGCTAATGATATATATATATATATATATATATATATATATATATATATATATATATATATATATATATATATATATATATATATATATATATTTCATGTAGAACAACATTAACGTTCAGCCACGAGATCAAACAATCACGCATAATTGTAAAGCATATCACGCAATGCAAACTTCACATCCATTGCTTACTTCGGGTGTTTGTGTAATAACTGCCTCGACAGGCACAGGGGAGTCATTGACACAGCAGCAATTAGTTACGGAGTCACTCTCTGAAACTCCACCTAGTGGCTCAAAGGACATTTCGGATGAAAGCTGCGAGAACTGGACTCTAACGCCTGCTGTGTTAACTGGTGTACAACGGTTACATAGCCAGGAACTAACTAGAGTCACAGTACGTTTGTCAAATGTGAGTTAAGGAACAGATGTTGTGTGTCTGAGTGAAAGCTCACGAGTGAAAGGTTTGTCACTTGAGTCTACCTTAAGCACTGTTAGAATAGGTAGTCTCACAGATGTCCTCGTTCTCAATAGAACTGGGGGACCCATAACTTTGAGAAAGGGATGTTGTTTAGGTAATTTCCTTGTTTACGACAAATCGGTTGTCGAAGAGCCATTAGAATTACCAACAGGTAGTGTAACACAGGGTAAATCGGACGAAAAATCACATATTGTAAATAATGTAGCGTTAATAGCGCCACACGTGAAAGTAGTCGATCATCCTCGAGGCAAAAGTGATCTTTAGAATTACTCGCCGAGTTCAAGGAAATCATAGCGTTACCTGGAGAACCCCTAGGTAAAACAACGTTGACAAATCATCATATTCCACTCAAACAGGAAGCTGATCCAATCTACATCCCAGCATATAGGCTACCCCACAGCAGAAGAGCGGTAGTCCAGCAAATAGTACAAGACATGGTGAACCAAAAGGTCATAGATTTAAGACGAGTCAACCAGGTAACTGTACCAGACAGGTTCCTAATGTCTGTCCTAACTGACTTACTACAGTAGCTAAGAAAAGACAAAGCAGTCTTCAGCAACTTAGATATACTTAACGGGTACTGGCAAATTCCCTTACATGAGGATTCCCGCGAAATAGCTGCGTTCAGTACACCAATGGGACATTTCGAATTCTTAAGAATGCCATTTGGCTGTAAGGGCGGAAACGATCTCCCTGCTCGTTGCCGCTGCTAACTCTCTCGTTTGCTGGTGCGACCAACGCGGGGGTTGGACAGAAGGTGAGGGAGCAGCGGCGGCTACCTGTGTCACGGGCAGATTCACCCCAGCCGCCATACAGTCACTATCTAGCTACCCCTCGGCAAATTCTGGCTGTGATCTCATCATAGGTCCTGGACTCGTGGGCTGTCTTCCCAGACCTTCACCTGTAGACTGTCAATTCTCTGGACATCAACCACTACTGCTGCTCCTCCCCACCGTTGGTGACCCGGTGTTTGTTTCTGCTGTATCAAGACATCTGCCGCTGTCGCTCGAGTGAGGTTGAACGGACGCATCCCCCTGAGAGTGGATCACTGTGTTCTGGAACCTTCCCCCAGGGCCACTGTCGTAGGAAATATCTGTTCATTGTTTGATTCCTTTAATTGCTGACCCCCCTTTTATTGTTTGATTCTATCAGTTGTTGACTCCCATTAATTGTTTGCTTCCCTTTAATTGTTTGCTTCCTTTAATTGTTTGCTTCCCTTAATTATTTGACTCCATTAACTGTTTACTGCATTAATTGTTTGACTCCCGTAATTGTTACTTGATGTTTGTTGAGTGG